AAAAAAAAAAAAGAAAACCCTAAAGTACAACAGTTTGTCTTTCCCATAACATTTTAAAAGGGAAGAGATTTTTCTCTTAGCCCCACAGAAGCAACAGGCTAGCCTCCTTATCAAAACCGAAGTCTTAGAAGGGTGAGGACGAGCAGGGGGATATCATAAGGTCGCACAATTTGATGGACGGAAGGAGGGGTGGGTGAAAGAAATGGGAAAGATTGGTGTGGATCTGGAAAGACAGGGTAGTGGTGGGCTTAGTTCAATGTTGATTACTTTTATAAGATATCATGAATGGGAATGATTGTATGAAATACAATGTGAATGAAGAATAGTATGAAAAACAATGTATATGAACTTTGTAAGCAAGCCAACATAAAAAAAAAATATTTTATTTTAAAAAAAATAACCCACAAAAACCTGAAGCCTTCTGATGTAGTCTGCCCATCTACCCTGCAGTCTGTGCCTGAGAATGACTCTTCTCTGGGCAGATTGTGCCAAGTCAAGTGATCTTGAGACCTTGGCCAGGCTGGGTCCCACGCACCAGGTCCAAACACCTACACAACCAACCCCCACAAAATACTGTACAAACTTTTCATACTTCCCTTTCCAGCCCTCCCCTACAGCAAAGACAGAGCTCTCCCACGTTGCTGTCCCATCCCCTCCCCAACATCGGCTCCCATAGTATCCAAGACAGGGAGGCAGACTGGGAATCTCATGCTCCTATCTCCTTATATACTCTGAATAAAAATCTCATTGTCATGGAGTTGGAACCAGCTCACAGGGTATAAGCACACGGATGAAACAGTCCATTTTTCTTCCTCAGAGCAGCTGGTAGATTCGAATCAGCAGAGACACAGCCCTGGGGTTGGGAGCGCAACTCCCTATGGACTGGGCCCATAGAGTGCCCTCATTAGATATTGACATAAGAAAATGCATGCTTTCCCCACTCCAACCTCTGTCTCCAAGATTGTTTATTCCCGTACAGAACTTGTAGCAGGGTCAGTTATGAGTGGATTCCAACCTACGACGGGCAATTAATTTTAAAGCCCACTCTTCATTAAAAACTAAAATCCCACTTACTTTTTTAGGATTAAAGTTTATTTTAGGTGCAGCAGTCATAGGTGCAAATTTGGATGTTGTGACAAGTGGGGACCACTCTCATTGTGACTACGCAGGTTAGATGAATATCCATCAGAGACGTGTAGAAGGAAAAGCAGAAACCCTACACAGGTGGGAGGCCCGCCCGTGAGCTCAGCGGCTGCCACGCTTGCCTGAAAGTTTCACCTGGGAAATGTGAAAAGCATCTAGATTGCTAGGACCCCCCTCAAGAGAAGCTCATCAGCGGGTGAGGTTGCGACCTGGGGATTGGTACATTTCTAAAGCTCTCTGGATCAGAGAAGTTCTCTGACTCTGATGTTAGCCAGCTGGAAGGAACCTCATAGTGGGGAAGGAAGTTTGAAGAAGTATTGTAAAAAAAAAAGGGGCTATTTTGTTCTGAGCTGATTCAGGCAACAAAACCAGGCCCAAGAGGAAGGGCATTGAGGCAAAGCCAACTGGGAGAGAGGAGGAGTTTGAGGGCCTCTCATCCACAAGCCCCGAGGCTGCCCAGTGAAGGACTGAGCAAAGCCGAGCAGAGCTGGGCCCAGGGCCTGGGGACTCGGGAGAAGCTGCTGGGTGGGGCCAGGTGGGGACCTCTGACAGTGCAACTTTCAGATTTTAGGAGGACTTTTGAGGACAATACAAGGACCAGGGAGAAGTAAACCATTGCAGAAAGCCAGCGTTCCAGCTGTGTGACAAAGACATTGTATTTGATTTCTCAAACCTCCATTCTAGGCAGGGAAAACCTGCACAATGAGGATGGGAGATGCACTGAATGATTTTCTTTCTCCCTTTTTCCTTCCTAATTTCCCTTTTTAAAAAAAAACAAAAATTGTTGTGTACTGTCCAGCTGGAACCAACCTACAGCTGACCCTCCAGTGCATTTTCAGAGACAGTTAATCTCACTGGAGGAGATTGCCCATCTTTCTCCCACATGGAGTTGAACCTCCTGCCTTGAAGATTACAATGCAGCTTCTTGTCACTAGGCTACCATAGTCACAGATTTGTACAATCATTTGTAAAATGATTTTTACAATCAATTGTAAAACATTTTCATCACCTCCAAAAGAAACTTCATACTTTTAGTTATTACAACCCTGCCTCTATTACCTGCCAGTCCTAAGCCACTGTGAATCCACTTTTCCAAGGTTTACCATATTGCAGCATGTATCACACCTCATTCTTTTTGAAAGCTACATACTGTTCCACTGTGCACACACCTCACTTTGCTTATCCATTCATCAGTTAATGAATGTCAGGTTGTTTCCATCTGCCTTTCTTTTCCTTTTCTGGAACCAAACCCTCTATTCAAATGCAGTGTTGTAAGCTTCCGTGTGGTTGCTGTAGTTAGATGCCATCTATGACTCATAAGTGGCCCTGTGAACAACAGAGCTGGACTCTGCCCTCTCCTGCCCCATGCTGACCATGTCTGACAGGCTTGAACCCATTGGTACAGTCACAGTGTCAACCAATCTTGCTGGGAGTCATTTTTCCTTTATTTGACCTTCCACCTTTCCCAGCATGGTGTCCTTCTCCAAGGAATGGACCCCCCGGGCAACATGTCTAATGTATGTGGTACAAAGATTCCCCATCCTTGCCTCAAAGGAGCCCTGGTTACACTTCCTCCAAGACTTACTGGTATTTTGAATCACTAATCAAAATAGACAGCTTTGGAAAAGGAAATAAACCCCAAAGAATAAAAAAAATAAAAAAAAAAAAGACTTACTGGTTTGTTCTTTGGTGAGTCTGTGGGATAATCAGAACTCTTCTCTAGCACCACAACTCAAAGGCATCGATTCTAACTTCTGTCATCTTTAGTCACACATGTACGCTAAACAGAGCAGGCTGCTGGGTGAAGCAGGTGTCAGAGGCCCTGGGCCCTTCTATTCCTTCTCTCTGAGCCCCCCTTGGTCCATGCAGAGCCCTCAATCCATATGAAAATCTGCTGGAAATTCTTGGGCTAAACTTTCCCAGACTTCATCAAGTAAGAATTCTGTCACATGTGCGAGTTCTAAAATGAGAAGGATCAGGAATCCTCTTCTCTAGGTTTGTTAAGGTTCTAAGGGCAGGAAGGGGCATCTGCATGAGGGGCAACATTCAGGAAGGCTCCATCGAGTGGGGCTGGTTTGGGAATGGATCACAAATATTCAACTCGCTTTATTTAAGTCCCATTGCCCATTTTTACACATATTCATTAAATCACAGTAATTATTAGATGACTCTCACAGCTGGAATGATTCACTGTGACGGGGATTTGCATGGCCCTGAGTTTTCAAGACTGCAGCTGGCAGTGCCTACCCCAGGCAAGGATCTGCTGTGAAAATGCTAGGGCTGGGGGCCACCTGCTAGCATGTCCCTGATGGGAAGACGTCCTCAGGATGCCCTGATGACTGGTTTCTTTGCCATTCAGATGTTCTCTCCTAGACTGTACTTATATTAAACAGGACAACTGAGACAGGATCTGCATCTGTTGCCAGGGCAACCTGACAAATCACTTCACCCTCAGCTACTGTATATATGTAATTTGTCAAAGACAGTTGGCTCACAGAGAGAGGGTAGGGAGGGAAAAGAATGTTAGTTTTGGTCTTTGGAAACAAAACTGGAAGACTATCTTCTGGTCAATCAACTCCCTCAGGACAAGAAAGCAGCCTTGAACTGTGTGATAAACATCGAGAAAATTCAGGTCGGGAAGGCGAAAGGGGGCAAACCTTTAACTTTCATTTTTCAGAATGTAGGTCAATAAAGGCTTCACCTAAGGAATGTAAAAATAGTTGCATTTAAGGGCTTTATGCCAAGCTGCAGAAGACCTGGAGCTGAATGGAGGAGATGAGAGAGGGCAGACACTCAGGAAAGCAGGCAGGGTATTCTAGAATGGACAAACACACGTGGTGTTGGGAGTGCTTGACGTGTCTCATCGTTTGTCTTTCAAGCAACCACCATGGGTACTGAGATCAGGATCCCAGAGCTCGGAGGTCACGTGCAGACCGAGGTAACCCGCTCAAGGTATCATAGAAAAGCCAGAAGTCCAGAAAATCCAAGTGACCTAGCAAAGGCTCCACCACTTGGTAAGCACAGCACGAAGCCTGGGTTCTCTGTGCTCTTTCCACCTACCTGGTGCCTCTGTCCTGTGGACATCTGTTTCCTAGAAGAGTCATAACTGTGCCCATGGAGCTGCTGGGTGCTGAGCTCTGAGAGGGCTCCATAGAAACGGCTCCATTTTGGTCTACTTTATATGTATTCAGGTCTTACTGAAAGCTATTTTAGGGAAAATCTACTATTAAAATTGTTTTTTGAAAATCATTAGTCTAAAGATAAACGTGCCAGAAGCGGTGACAGGTGCACAACGTGAACGTACTGAGAACCACTGAATCGTAGGCTTTAAAGTGGTATGGTTTGAGGTATGTAGATTACACTGCAATTAAATGTTTTTTAAAAAAGATAAATTGCTTTGTGTTCCTGCATCGAGGCATGCTCATACCAGCGGCATGTTGTATCCAGAGTCAGGAACCAGACAGGAAGTCAGCATAACAGCGGGGCCCCAGTGGGCTTCCCCACCTCCTCCCCGCCTTCCCTGGGCCCAGCGGGGAGCCTCGAGGGCCGCGTCTTACCGAGTTGGTGCCCAGGATCTGCAGGTTGGGCTTCTCTGACTCCAGAAGCTTGGCCACCATCTTGAGGAAACTCTCCACGAAGAGGTTGATGCTCTGGCAGTGGCAGGCCATGAGCAGCTGGTCCAGCGCCTCCATGGCAATGCACACATACCTGGGGACACAGCGGCACAACTCGGTAAGATGAGCGCGGGTTGTGTCGGTGGTGCTTATTTATTTTATATTAGTTTGCTTACAAAGTTCATTACATTGCGTCTCACACTATCCTTCATGTTGTTGCTGTTATTAGGAGCTGTTGAGTCAAGTATAACTCATGGTGACCCTAAGAGCAGCCCACCTGAACCCTGCCCTATCCTGAGCCATCCTCATCATCTCTGACACACTGGAGTCCATTGCTGAAGTCACCATGTCCATCCATCTCCTTGGGGGTCCTTCCTCTCCTTCACTGACCCTCCATCTTTCCAAGCATGATTTCTCTTCCCAAGGAACAGCCTCACCTAGCTACATGACCAAAGTATGAAAGACAAAACTTTGCCATCTTTGCCTCAAAGGCGCACCCTGGCTGCACATTTCCCCAACGTTTGGTCTTTTGGTAGTTCCTGGGATATTCAGTATTCTTGTCCAACACGACAATTCAAAGGCATTTTGAGTTGTCTAAGCAAACCTAATCAACGCTTGGCTAAATGTTTCTGTACAAGAAGAAAGATTGTAGAACACCTAGAATTTCTAGCAACATCTGTAGGACCACAATGCAAAGCTTCCCATAGCAGCTGCCCAATTGCAGACACTCTGTGGCCAAGCTGTTTGAGACATGAGCTGGCTTTGCAAATTCAAATATACAAGGTAACAGCTTTGATGGTCTCTCATATTTTAAAAGACATTAGCCACTATCCAGCTAGCTTTGAGCTACTTCTATACAATAAGAGAAACAACCTCTACACTCTGAAAAGTTCATTTTCTGCTTTTATAAAATACTCTTTTCTTTATCTGTATGAGCCAAGTCTACTGAATCATCATCTCTGGGCACATGTGCAAATGGAACACGTCCCATTCTTATCTACCCAGTGTCTTTCAAACACAAAGGCAGCATGGATCTTTGAGCTTCATCTGGGAGGCCCACCCTTCCTTGGCTGTGAAGACCTTTGCCCTTCAGAGGGCACCTCAATCACAACCCAGGAACCTGCTGTGCCTTACAACCCCCGCCCTGGCATGTTTCAGGCCCACTGTATGGGCTGGTAAAGCAGAGACCAAATCCTGCAGGGCTGGGGAACAGCCTGGACGAAAGCCCTTCCAAATGGCACAGGCTTCCCTGCAGAGAAGCCCAGACACATGCAGGCAGCCTAGCAGGGCAGCTGGGAAATAAGGACAGGTGGAGTGGAATTCTGCGCCTCTTATGCATCAACCCAGCTTCCAGAAGCATTTCACTACTATTACACAGAGCTTAAATCAGAGAAAGGAAGGGGGTGGGTGGAGTTAGCAAAAGAAGACTCTGGAAGGTCTCCCATCACCCAGTGCACAGACTGTTGCTTTCCTTTTTGCTGCAAAAGCTTGCAAGAAAACTCTCTGATAAGTAAAAACCATCGCTTGCTAGGGGGAAAAAACCCCAACAACCCCAAAACAACAACCGCCAAAATCTTGGCTGACTTGAGTGAGAATTCTGGTAAAAGTGAAGCTGAAAAGTATAGGCATTTAAAGTGCAGTTCTTGTTGTTTTTTTTTAAATTAACTTTAATGAACGTTTACAGAGACTTAGGGTTTCTAGTCATTCATTATTGCACTTTTCTCCCCACCCACCCCCTCCTCCCCAATTCACTCTTCCTGAAAAGAAAAAGAAAAACTCTTTCATTGTTATGCAATCCTCTCCCCCTGCCACACCTGCCCCAAGCCCACTCCACTGTTCAGCCTTCACTCTGGACTTCTGTAATTACAAGAGTACCCATTCATATGTCCCTTTTAAACAGTTCTCTTCCTTATCTGTTTCAGTGCAATATATATCATTCCTCCCCTCCTTTTTTATCTTCCCTCAACCCCAATGTCAGTTCCGTTTTACAACAGTGGCCCTATGCAATAGTTATCTTTTTGTGACTGAGATACTTCACTCAGCATAATGTCCTCCAGGGTCACCCATTTTGCATAATATTTCATGAGTTCCTTGTTTTTCCATGCAGTATAGTATTCCATTCTGTGAATATACCACAGCTTCTCTATCCATTTGTTTGTTGATGGGCACTTGGGTTGTTTCCAACTCTTTGCTGTTGTGAACAAAGTCGCAATAAACATGGCTGTGCATATATCTGCTTGGGTGACAGTTATGGTTTCTTTAGAGTATATTCCCAGTAGTGGAATTGCTGGGTCAAATGGTATCTCTATTTGCAACTTTTTGAGAAAGCGCCATACTGCCTGCCATAGTGGTTATACCATTTTATGGTCCCACCAACAGTGGGGGGGGAAAGTGCAGTTCTTGGTGACATCAGCCTTTGCTCCTAACTCTGACTCTAATCCTAAAAGACTCCAAACTAAGGGGTTGTAACTCTGGATTTAATTTTCTCAACATATCTTAAAAGAGTGGAGCTCAATGGAACCTCTGAGCGCTCACTCAATTTGCTCTGCCTTTGTCCTTTTTCACAGTAACTCTCTCACACACGGCTTAGCCTTTAGGCAGACTATGGGATTCTTGGGGTGATGTCCACTCAGCAGGATTGGGAGCATCAGAGGTCTGATCTGGGCTTGCTGTCCTGGAAGAGGTCTGGGAATTTGAACTTGGCCTGACTGGGTGCTCAGAACAGGATGGAGCAGGAAGGAGCTGGAAGCACTGCTCACCCACAGAGGCACCCAGGCAAGAGGCAGGTCACAGGTCACAGCAATGGTTGACAGCTGGGAGTCCTGACTGTACTAGGAGCACTTCCCATGCAGTGAGGAGGACAGAACCCAAGACATCACAGATGAACTGGAGTTCATGGGCAGCAACCGAAGCCAGGGGAGGACTAGGGCACCTGGCAGGTTATAGCAACAGGAACCCAGGGTAAGGAGCCAGGGCAGGAGTGACTCATAATGACTGAAGAAAGTACACAGGAGGCCTGGTACTCAGGAGTGAAGCAGGAAGCGCAAGCCAAGGGTCTTCACTGAGAACTATTTGTGATGGAGAATCTGTGCCTGGTTTTGAACACCTTGTGCCCAGTCAGGGGCAGCTTTAGGAACCAGGAGAGACACTGAGCCTCCAGGGAAAGAGGAGCAGCAATGCAGTCTGGGAACCAGTTAGAGAGGAAAAAAAGGCAGATTTGGAGTTCAAGATGGGATCAGCAGGCAGAAAGAGAGGCCGAGGCACGTTTCGCACGGCTAGTCATTGCCCTAGATCACTCCAGGAGCAGTGGATGTGACAAAAGAACTTCTTTTCTTGGGCGATTTGAACACATATAGTCAGTCCCATTCTTAGATAGAATCTTCTAGGTTTAAAAAACCCATAGGTAAGAGACAAGCAATGTTCTTAGCTAAGGGAAAGGTGAAACTACTAGTAGTGGTTTTTATCCAAAGGTGGACCCATCTACCAAGCAAGCTCTCTGCGAAATCTGTCCGTATTCTTAGGGTCTCCACTAAGCCATCTCCATAGAGGACAACTTTCTTTGGCATTTAGGGAGTGGGGGCAGTGATCTCCATCCTCTGGGGTTTAGACAAGCTGGGGCTAGATGGCGAGATGAGAGCTCGAGGCACTGGAGTTGCATCCAGAGTGCTGTCGACTCTCAGCGATCACTGTCAGCGGAGCCTGGGCCTCACTCAGCACTGACGTTACCTCCTCTGCTCTCCAGCTGCTCCAGGAGTTCTAGCAGCTGGGCCATGATGGAAAGGGAAGGCAAAGCTCAAATAAGAAGGAAAGCAGAAGTTCCAGCTTTTTGTTGCTCTGTGTATCACTGCTCATCGTAGCCCAGGCTGATGACTAACACCTTGCAATGTGTCTTTTAGCCTCTCTCTGCCTGCATTTGATTACCCCACTTGATGCCAAACATGTATGCTAACTGGGAGCAAGGGGCCATGATAACAGGAACGGTGGAAGCAGAAGGAGGTCGTTCTGCTACTGGGTCCAACGTGGACGGCTCAAGACCATATGGTCAAAGCACAAAAAAATACAGACACTTGCGTCACACGGGGGACACAGGCCCTCAGACAATCTCTGTGCCAACATTTTGCTTTTCCAAATCTGCTGTCAGTGACACAGAAGGTTATTAGGATGATATAGAGGGCTGGACAGGGGAATGTTGGAAGGGTGCAGAGAGAGAACGAGAGATCAGATTAGATGTAAGAGATTCTTCTTCTCTCTGAATGTTTATGATTAAAGCCCTCAGTGAGGTCTTCAAGGCTTTAAATACTTACATGCTGCAAAGTCTATTTTTAATAGAATGATAGCAATTTTGAATTGTGGCTCTAAGATCAGGGGAATAATTTTAAATGCCTCTGCTAGCTGAAAAACAGCTTTATTGAGGGAACCATCATTGCAGAGAAGACAGGCAAAATTAGTATTAAATGTTTAATGTTATAGCCAGTATATTAGTGTGAGGTTCATTCGAGGATAAAGTTATTTTTACTTCCTTCAGAGTACTTTATATTAGGGCCCTTTATATAATCAGCATGTATGATATAGTCATGCCCTTTTTATTAAGCATGCAATTCTATTATATAAAATGATCACAGAAATATATTCCTTTTGGTCTTGCTTTTACAACAGAGGTAACTTGGTTTAAAATTTGCTAGTGCTTCCTGAGGTTTCACACTCTGGTCAAGATTGGATTCAACTACTTGACCAGGAAGAGGGGGCCTTAAAGGGCAGCAGGAGCTGATGGGTAGAGGTGGGGGGAGGTTGGGGAGAGAGAGTAATACAAAGGCCTAGAAGACAGAAGGACTCAAGTGTTGGGAGGTTATTACCTTGACTATCTGGAATGGGTCCAGAGTAGGTGTGAAAACAAATGAAGGTAAAAGGGAAAAAAAGAGTTTATTCAAAATGGCTTTCCTAGCTATTAAGTTTGACTTTGTCACATGGAAGGGCAGGGACATGAGAATGGGGTGTGTTGCTCTATTCTCAAGGGAGTTGACTAGTCTTGGCATTAAATTGAGCAGATTTAGCAGGAGAAATAGAGCATCACACCATAAGCAAAGAAGCAGCAGAGAATGCAGTGCATACACTTTAGGGCCAGAGTTTTATACTAGCCAGACCTACAGGAAAATAGCAGCAGCTTCAGCAGAGAACCAGAGACCCAAGGTAAGACAGAGGTGACCTAGGACTGCTACATTGTAGAACCAGAACCAGAGGCCTTTGCCCAAGCTTGCTGGATAACTTGGAGAGAGATTCCATAATTGGGAGAACCAAGAGAAATTTGTAACACTGGCTTAAAGTCGCAAGGCTGAGGGGCTGAAGGGCCTGTTATCATGCTCCAGAAGCTGTCCTGACTGAGAAATTATATCCTGTTAACTCCCCTAATAGATCCCATAACTGTGTGTATGGTTCTATGTCGTCTGTGAGCTACAGTAACAAATTTCTGACCCAGTAGAAGATTAGGACTGGTGTTAGAATTATCAGAAGTAAGGGCCTGGGGGACATGTCTGACCTCATGGGATTTGGTTTTGTGTTGTCGATGTTGTTGAAGGGGCCAGTTTCCCCTGGTGGGGTTAGTAGAGGTCAGGCTAAACCTTCCTCATGCTGCCATTGCTCTTTTTGCAGATGAACGTGGCAGGTAGAGTGGTGAGTTAAGAGCAGGTTGTGGAAGACCCAGATGTTAAGCTAAAGAGTTTGGATTTCATTCTAAAGAAGCTAGGAAAGTATAACTTCAGGGCTGTGACTTCAAAAGGTCTTATCTAACAGTATTAATCTGGAAGGAACAGAAGAGGAAAGGCTAATTTCACACTCAGTGCCCAAACATACTCAGGGTAAAAAGAAATGAGAGCTTGAATCAAGAGGAGGCAAGTGCAGAAGAAAGAAGAAGATGGAGAGAAAAAGATTCTGTGAAGAATGAAACCAACAGGATATAAGAATAAATACCCCAAGTCTACGCGCAGAGACCTCTCAAAATTACTGAGGAACGACGATGTCAGTTTGAGGACTAAGGGACACCTGATTCAGAACATGGTCTTTTCAATCATTTCCTATGCATCTGAGAGCCAGACAATTAGTAAGGATGACAGAAGAGGAACTGATGCCTTTAAGATGTGCTGTTGGAAAAAAGTGCTGAATATCCCATCAAGTGCCAAAAGAACAAACATGTATATTTTGGAGAAAGTACAGCTGAAGTGCTTCTTGGAGGCAAAGATGACAAAGCTTCACCTCACAAAGCTTCCTCACATGTAGTTAGGAGAGGCTATTCATTTGAGAGGGGCATCATACTTAGAAAGGTGGAGAGTCAGCAAAAGAGAAAAAGACCCTCAAAGAGATAGAATGACACTGTGACTGCTGCAATGGGCTTGGGTATATCAAAGACGATGAAGATGGCACAGGATAGAACAGAGGTCAGATCTGTTGTTCAAAGGGTCTATATGAGTCATACTCAACTGGACAGCATCTAAAAACAACAAGCCCAAGTCTGCAAAAGAATGACAAAATCAAGGATGGGGAAACTTTGAGCATGTCATCAAGGGAAACCAATTGTAAGGAAAGGACACTATGTTTTGTAAAGTAGGCGATTCATCAAAATAAATGAAACTCTCAAGGAGATGGACTGATTAATACTAACAACAATGGGCTCAATCACAGCTATAACAATAAAGATGGCACAGGATTGGTCAACAGTTCATTCTGTCATTTAAAAAGTAATTATGAGTCCATTTTGTTATGAGGTCTCTATGACTCAATGGTACCTAACAACAGCAACCACATGAAATCTACCCAGCCCTCTGTCCCACTGGTGATGCCACCTAGAATAACTTTACACCAAGAGTTAGCTTTTCATTCAGCCTCTCTCTGAATCATGGTGTGGTTAGGAGGCAAACACAACCTGACACCTTCCTTTCAATAAAAGCAACACATGCCCAATAGGGAATACTTAAAATCCACACACAAAAGTACACAGGAAACAAGCAAAACTCTACTGTCACTATGTCCACAAAGAGAAATCTTAATATTTTGGTATTTTATTTTTAGAAAATTTTCTGGGTATGTATTGATATTGTTTGGTCATCATCTATGTTTTTAATATAAATGTCAACACTGAATGCATAATTATATAGTCTGGTGTGTGTTTGCTTTTTATTTAAAAACGACATTTTCATATATACAGAAAGCACTTTATAAACACCAGGAAAGGACTTTATAAAGACCATTTTTACAGACTAGCTAATTTATTGAATTATTCTTCTCTAGACTCTGTTGACCTAGTAGTAAGAATCTGCACTGCAGTCACAAAGGCACCTTGTTCAAATCCACCAGCTTCTCTGCGGGAGAAGGTTGGGCAATCTCCTCCTGTGCCTCTTAGAATCCACTGGAGGGTTGGCTATGGGCTGATTCTGACTTGATGGTATATAACAACAATAGCAGCAATTAGACATTTAAATTATTTATACTTTGTAAGATTGATTCTTTAGGTTTAATAGAAATGGAATTACTAAGTCAAAATACATAAATGTTCCTGAGGCTCTTGACACATAGATCTAAGTTACTTTCTGAGGAAGTTTGACCAATTTGCCCTTCTTATAGAAAAGCATGAAAGTGCCTCCTAATTTGCCATCCTTAGGTTACTAATGGACACAGCTTTTTTTGGTTAATTTGAGATGTGAAAATGGCTATCATTTCAATTGACATGCTTGATTACAAATGTGTTGACTATCATCTGATATGTATAATGAATTCTCTCTCGGAAATTCATATTACCTTGCATCAAATCTTATGGACTGTGAGCCAGTAATACATTAAGTTTGAATCATTACCTTATTTTTTTAAAAATACATTATGTTATCTTTTATATTTTTATTTTTTCTTTTTTGATATCAAACTCTTTACATTTTTAAACATCTAAATGTATTGATTGTAAATTTTCCTTAAGATTTCTTCTCTCTTCTAAGGATAGTAAGTCCTTCTCTCAGAAGAGATTGATAAATATTTCACTTAAGTGCATTTTCTTTTTTTTTTTTTCATGATTGATATTTTATTGGTTGTTTTAAGGGCCAGTTCAGAGACATTATGAACAACCTGTACATAATTCTTAATGTACGTACCAAAAATCTAAAAAGCCATGTAGTTATAATTCTTTTCTAAATTCCAGTGACCTTCCAGCTTTAAATTTGGAGCAAAGTTTTCATAAAGAAGAAAATAAGTACCAGTATCTTCAATTGTTGATAAACTGTCACATCATTAAGTCCCACTATTTCACAATTTACTATCACACACACTACACTCGAATTTTCAACAGTTCACAGCACATAACAAGGTTATTAGGAAAACTGGATTACTAAGACCAAAGATGTTACAGAATCCACATAGTTCTGACAGGGAGAAAGCCATGAAAAGGGAGTGGTTATGTTTAAGAAGAAATTTTACTAAACAATGTTCTAATTTATGTATCTTAAACATGGAAAATAGACTTAATTTAAAATGTTCAAGTCATAAATGCATGACTAAGACTCCAAATTGTCATTAAGTATACTATGTATTATGGGATATAAAAACTGTCCCTTTTTTCCCATGGAATGTTACACTGACATCCAAAGCCCCCCCACAATTTTAACATCCCACATTTTCTGGTTGTACCAAAAAATAAACAACCAGCAAATGATCTCACCTCTTAAAAAAAAGCATTTACACTTAAAAATGGGATGAAGTGGGATTTCCTTCTTCTGGGATTGCAGTACACCTTCTTGCCACTAGGCCACCAGAGCTCGCCTGGATTTCCTTCTTCTTAAAAATGTTTCTAGAGCTACTAAAAAACTTGCATTTACAAAATAGTTGATAAAAATATTCCTCTGGATTGTACAAGAAAGGAGATACAGGGACCACTGATAAGACATGGTAGACAAATATTAATCAGACTTGGCTTCTTTTTCTTCTGCTTCATAAGAGGCTGGACTCTCTTCGTTTTTAGTTTCTCCATTTTCTGCAGGTAAATTTTGTTTAGTTTCTTGGTTAGCCACTTCAGCCTGTTTTCCCTTTGTTCCCCTTTTCCCTTTTGTTTGCACTTTTTTGTCAGAAGACTTCTCCTTTCCTGCTGCCTTTTTGGGCTTCATTTCCACGTTTGCAGGCGGCTTAGCTGACAGCCTCGCTGAATCTCCTCTTGGGCTCCTCCTTCACCGCACCCTCGGCCGAGCTGACCTTCCTCTTGGGCATGTTGGCGACAGGGAGGGCTAGTGCAGGGTGCCTGAGGGCCGCGGCGCACACAGAGCCTTCGCAAAGCTGGGTTGCTCTGGCACTGCCTCTCTGCCCACCGCCGTGCTGCTGGGACCCGCGGCGGGGGCGGTTAAGTGCATTTTCTAATGGACAAATTACCTCTATGCTTGTCCTTTCAATAGATGTAGATGGGCTCTTCTTACTTTTTAAAGACAACACAACAAGAAGAGTGACACATTTGGGGTTAGACTAATTGTTTAAAGGTACCAGACAAAGTATGTGTGAGGGCTTCTGGGTATAAATAGGAGGGATAAATTGAAAGTTAGAATCTGACATCTTTTCTTCACAAATCTTGTCAAGAATATCAAATTTTAACCTGTCTCTGGAAAGGTAAATGGAATTCATTCCTATGCTCTCAGTCTGTTCAAGAATACTTATGAAGACAGCCTACTATCTTCTTTTTAAAATTATTTTCCAAATTAATACTTCTTTTTATAATTTTTTTTCCTTGTTGTGTACCATCAAGCTGGATCCGACTGGCACAGGAGGAGATTGGCCCTCCTTCTCTAGTAGAGCATCTGGTGGATTTGAACCATGTGCCTTCGGGATTGCAGAACAGCTTCTTGCCACTAGGCCACCAGAGCTCCCTCTATCTTTTTCTTTTTTTTTAAAGCATCTATATTTCTTGAAAATAGGTCTCCCACCTTCCCAGACTACTTACCCATATCGATGGCGGCCCACATCCCGGATGAGCCTCTCTGAGAGGTAGGCACCAATACGATCTAGTTTTTCTGGAGCTGAGAGGGCGTAGAAGGTCAGCTTCTCCATGTTGGTCTTCACCAGGCCATCCTGTAGGATATAGACAGTTCACAATCACTCTGACTATATTATGGCTGGACAGCTTCACGTCCTGATATAGTGTTATCGCTTTATTGTTCAAAATGGCCTTCCTAGCCATCAGCTTTGACCTTTATCAACTGACTAGGTGGGAACCTGAAATAGAGTATGTATAAGCTAATCATTATGGGGTTGACCAGTTTTTCCTATTCCATCAAGTTTAAAGTCAGCAATTTTAGTAGTAAATGTGAGACCCTCACTACCAACAAGGAGGAGAGGAAGAAGCAGAGAACTCAGCAATCATTATGCGGCCAGAGATCCCTCACCAGTTAGACCAGGACCTACATGGGATCAGCAACAACCTCAGCAGAGAACAGGAGATTGGCATGGAGTCAGAGCCAGGGCCTTCACCCAAGCTAGCTGGAGGCCTGAGGGGAGACACTATAATTTGTAACCCTGACTAAGCCATGAGGTTGAAGGTTAAAGGGCCTGTAAGCATGCTTGAGAAGCTGTCCTGACTGAAAACCTGCATTCTGCTGCCAACCTGAACTGTAACCTGTTAACTTCCCTAGTACATTTCACAATGGTGAGTATAGTTTCGTGAGTTCTGTGCGGCCACTGCAAATGACTTCAAACCCAGTAGTAGAGCAGTATGACTAGTGTTGGAATACACGGCAGAAGATCAAGGACTGTAGTCTTCAATAGGAACTGAAGCTCAACATAAAGAAGACAAAGATTCTCACCACTGGGCCAACTGACAGCACCATGATAGATGGAGAAGAGATTGAGGTTGTTAACAGTTACAGCTTGCTTAGCTCCTCAGTCAACACTTTTGGCACCAGCAGTCAGGAAATCTAAACACAAATTGCATTGGGAAAATCTGCCGTCAGGGACCTCTCCAGAGTACTGAGAAACAACGGTGTCAGTCTAGAGACTAGGGTGTGCCTGATCCAGGCCATGGTCTTCACAATTACTTGCTGAGAGCTGGATAAGGACTAAGGAGCATAGAAGAAGAATTGATGCCTTTGAGTCGTGGTGCTGGAGAAGAGTCTTTAACATACCATGGACTTCCAAGAAAACAAATAGGTCTGTCTTGGAAAGGGTGAAACCAAGTTTCGCCTTGGAGGCTAGGATTTTGAAGCTTTGTCTTACACACTTTGGAAACATGGCCAGGAGGGACTGGTCCTTAGAGAAGGACATCATGCTCGGAAGGATGGAGGGACAGTGTAGGAGAGAAAGACCTTAGATGAGTTGGACTAATACAGTGACTAGGACAATGGGAGTAGGTGTATGTGGGTCACTGAGATTGGCTCAGGACAGGGCAGGCTTCAGAGCTACTGTACATAGGGTTGCTGTGAGTTACAGGCAACTTGGCAGCACATAACAACAACAACAGGTGTAGGAGCATGGGGATTGCATCTGACCTTACAAGAATTGGCTTTCTAGCGTAGATGTTGCCTTATATTGTGGCTGTTCCCACTTGTGAAGCTAACAGAAATCAGATTCAGTTGTCCTTATGCTGCCTCCACTCTTTCTAAGATATAAATCACAATTCACATCACTCAACATCTACAGTGTGCCTATTATGTATGTAAAAAGTCATGGTGATGTAATGCATTATGTGTTGGGCTGCTGATCAAAAGGACAGTGGTTCAAATCCACCAGTTACTCCTCTGGAGAAAAATGAGCATAAAGATTTAAAGTCTTAGAAACCGGATTAAGAGCTGTTATGAGTTGGGATCAACTCTGTGATGGTGTGTTTGGTTTTAGTCATTATTTTAGTGTCAGACAACACCGGGTATCAGGACTTAAAAAGATGATTAAAACATAGGTCCTTCCTTTTAGGAACTCACAGGCTACCCAAAATGTGCTGGCTATAAATATGAATAGTGGTATGGATGCATATACAAGTAGATCCTTCCTTACAAAGTATTCTAGTTAAGACAATGCATACTTATTGTCTAGTTTTGGTTTTGTCTTTTCTATGTCTTATCACTACTAGTATATACTACACACAACATTGCAACTGAGCAACCCTGTGTACAACAGCCCTAAACTCTGCTCTATGCTGTCCCAATCTTATTGTCTCTGACACATCTACTCCCATTACCCCAGTTACTGAATCAATCCATCTTATCGAGGCTCTGCCTCTCCTGTGCTGCCCCTCCACGCTCCCAAGCATGGTGTCCCTCTCCAAGGACGGTCCCTCCTAGCGACATGTCCAAAGTACGTCAGACAAAGCTTCAGAATCCTTGCCTCCAAGGAGCAGCCTGGTTTCACCCTCTCTAAGATGAACCTGTTTGTTCTCCTAGCAGTCCATGGTATATTCAATACCCTTCTCTAATGCCACAGCTCAGAGGCATCAATTCTCCTATCATTCCTAGTCATTGTCCAGCTCTCTGATGCATAGCAAGTTATCGCAACTAGTAGTTTGCTATATTTTAGAGTTCAGTGTATCTGGAACATTGCATCTTCCCAAGAGGAAGAAATTATGAGAAAATGCATCCAGGAGACAGGAAAAAATATTTCTATGTGAAGGCACTCCATGTTTTTTGCTCAGGATAATAAGATGGAAGAAATAATTGAGAAAAATCTTCCTTATGGCAAAAATTTGGAATTTAGAAATAATGCCCCTGATATTAAATGGTTCATAGAACATGAAAACAGGAGAATTGACAGGCCAGGCTGTGTGCATTTTGAAGAAGAAAAAATTAAGTTGTCAAAGACTCTCACAGTGAAAGGATTAGCTAAAGTTTTTTCTGAACTAAATCAGGGGCTTCAGTTGCTTGAAAACATACTAAATCCTGATGACTTTGCTAAAGTTGACTGGTAGATTTGGGAAGCAATGAACTGTTACTGAAAAACATGAGTTAAAAAAAAAGGAAAAGGACCATCTGCACAGATAACTTTTAACACATTTTCTGACTAGAAATGCCATCTTCATTCCCTGGAATAATCCAGATGATTCAGAATCTTCCGTAATTGCAGTTATTACCCACAATTGACAAAATGCCAATGTTATCCAACTCTTCTCTATTGTTGGCGTAAATTTTTTATGATTTATTTTTTTGTGTGTACTTGTAAAAAGATGTACTAAAGATATCTGTAAGTTTATATGTAATGTTTCTAAGGACAAATATGTTGTTTTTGTTTATTGCCTTCTATTCCAGCATGACTCATAGTGATCTTATGAACAAAAGGCCTGAAGCCCCTCTGCAACTATCAAAATTTATCAAAGTTCATAGTTTCCGGAAGCATGTTATTTAG